TCGACGAACTTTGTTTTGTAGTGTAGGAGTAGGTTGGAAGAAAGTTAGGGGCGGCCAGACGAAAACTTGGCAGAAATCCATGAAGTCATTGACGTGTGGACTTAGCCATGTCGGTAATTGTCGACTACCTGGTTGGGGTCCACGAGATAATAATAATCGATGGTTCGATACCCTGAATGACATGGCTCAAAACCGTTTGCAATCGCGACGGTGCATTTATTCTCTGTGTTCCCTCAAATCCTAATCTTCTGGATTCTTCAACACCTCTAGTTTCGACTCTCTAAACTTTTCTCACTGAACCATACTTGTTGAATAATATCCTCTGATCCTAACCTCTCCGATTACTCCTTATACCTTTACTACCTCTTCTACTAATGGATTTGAATTGACAATTATATCTCAGTGCTAATGTGATCTGGCAACATGAACTGATGATGTACTTACGTACGAAGTTCTACGTTGCATCTATCTGTCTGTCCATCTGACATCTACCACTATGGAATTTCAATAAACAATTTTATCACTCTGTGTGTGCGAATGTGCTATGGCAAGTAGAAGTGATGTATATACATACATACGTACAAAGTTCTACATTCCGGCTGACTGACTGACTGACTGTCATAAGTAGTAATACTCGACAAGATCATCGTTTAAGTTTGTTTTTTCTCTCATATTTCATTACGTGTATATGCCTGATGGTATGTGTGCTTATACACAATTACAAACAGACAAGCAGATATAGAAAGTGTAATAAAGTGTAGTTAAGAGAAGAAAAAACTGTAATAATAATAATAATAAAACTAATAATTATGTCTATACACGAATATGTTTTATGATATTTAAAAAAAAGTCAATCTCTCTAGACAAGAAAGTCATACAAAAATCAAGACACAAAAGAGAGCGAGAGAGAAAATATATCTATATATATATATAATCTGGTACGGATGATAAAAATGTCAGACTAATCGATTTACACATTAAGTAGGAGAGAGTGAGTGAGGGAGCGAGTGAACTAGAGAGCGAGAGTGAGAGAGATAGAGCGAGGAAGGCAGGAAGGAACGAATAGAAAAAACAAGATATTTTTCTGTGAATAAGGAAAAAAAGTGATAGAATTACTTAGTTATCGTGAAAAAATAACTACTGAAGAGTAAGAAAAAAAACAAACAAACTGAAAGAACGTACGAAGTAACAAAATTCAACAATCTACATTGAAGTCAAATTAAGCCGATGATGATGATGATCATGATGATGGAGTGGCTATGTGAAACAATTAATGAATGGATATACATATGCACGTTATAACTGAATAGTAGAAAAGGTGATGATTTATTATTAATCAAACGATTTACATAAAATTCTTTTACAAATAAGATGAAGGGATATTATGGAATTGCTCTGTGTGTATGCCTGTGTGTGTGTGTAAGAGATTTATCAGTAATCAACTACTATATAGATTTATGTACTCGATACCAGACTACACCTACTACTACTATTACTACTAATACACTTGGATAAAGATGAATCATATATTACTATTGTGAAGTTCAAGTCAGTCAGTCAGTTGCAACGTAGAACTTCGTACGTATGTAAATAAGTTCATGGTGCCACACCATATAAACACAGAGATGCAAATGTCAATTCAAATCCCATAGTGATAGTAGAGATAGTTGAGGTATTAATGGTCATGAAGAAGACTTGGGTTTGAAGATATTATTCAAGAAGTACAATATAGTGAGATAAGGTTAGAAAGACAAAGGTAGATGTGCTGACGATTCCAGAAGATTAGGATTTTGGAGAGCTCAAAGAATGGATGCACGTGCGCTATTGCAAACGATTCTGAGCCATGTCGTTCAAGGTCTCTAACCATTGGTGAATTTCGTCTCGTGGACCCCAACCAGTTAGCCTACATCTACCTACATGACCAAGTACACTTGTCAGTGACTTTATAAATTTGTGACATGTTTTGGTTTGGCCGCCATTAGCTTTCTTCCAACCTACTCCTACACCACAAAACATAGCTTGTCGAGGCAGTCGGTGGTTGGGTATACGTAACACAAGTCCCAACCACCTCAACTGATGAAGTTTCACTACTTGTGAAGTTCAAACTGAAGTAGTAGGTGAGATGGAGTTGTGCACATACACATTAGACTAGATTAGATTAGTTGAATGTTCTATTTTTTTGTGTTAGGGACGTTAGGCCCCCAGAACTCACTTGGAAATGGTCCTAATTGTGTAAGTTATTTCTGAAATTTTAAATTTCGCTGTGTTCGCGCCCAAAGACGCCCCGATGACCTTCAGCTTACATTTCCCACTCGGAAAATCCTTGACTGTCGCTGATTGATGGATTATTTTAGTACGCTATTTTGTGGCTCTCACCAAGGAAGTTGCTATCATTGTATAAATAAGCTCGATTTGAGTCCTTAGTAACTTCTACCTTTCTGGGTGCCTGTAGGATACATCCTCTCTACGTCTTATCGAGACTTCTTGCTCTATTTGGAGGGGCCTGAGAGAATCCGATTAGAATAGCCTATCGTGTCACTGCATCGTTGATTTTGGTCCCGTTTACCAAGTAATAGTTTCAAGCAAATCGTTTGACGAGCATACCAATAACAACAGTAACAACATATAGTTTTATGTGTAATTGACTTAAGAATACATTTCTGTTGGGGATGTTAGATCCCAAGAACTCGCTTGATAAATGCCTTATTTTGGATTTCACTTTCGCGAGCATGGGCTGATCAATTGACCTTGAGATTTCATTTCCCACCAGGAAAATCCATGGCTGTGATTGGTTACTGTGTCATTATAGTGTGCTATTTTTGTGACTGTCCCAAGGACGTTTCTATGATGTATAAATAAACGAGAGTTGTGTGCTTGATTGTACTGTGTGATTGCTGGGTGTTTGTAGAATATACTTTCTACGCTTACCAATACTTCTGTTTACAGCTTGGGATTCAAAGTAGCCTATCTGAACGGTGGTAATTGTCTCGTTTCGCGTTTATCGACTAAGGTGAACTCGTAATAGCTTGAAACATACCTAGTGACGAATATAACAATTTCTTTTTGTATGTGGTTATTAATAACGCCATAGAACTTTCTTAAAAATTCAAATAGATAAGATGTGAGAATTTGAACTTGAAACCTAACAATGTCAATATGAGCATTTAACTCTACGTTGATGACAATTGAAACGATAATTAGAAATTAACTGTATGAAAAGTTGTTTGAATAAAAACTTAGTCAATCAGTCAACTACAATGTTGATGTACAAACGTACATCAGCTCAAGTTGCCATACCACATTAGCACAGAAACGTCAGTGTCAATTCAAATCCCATATTGGTAGAGATAGTAGAAGTATTAACGGGTTGGAAGATAGTATTCAAGAAGTAGAATCTAGTGACATAACTTTAAAAAGCGAAATATAAAGTTGATGAGGAATTCAGAAGGTTAGAATTTGAGAGAACACAAAGAATGGATGCGACTGCGCCATTCCAAATTATTTTGAGCCATTTCCTTTAAAGTCTCTAACCATCGAAAATGTACAGAGTCGGACCAATATGTATGTGTACCATGTATAAATAATAAATCAAATAATTCATATGTTCGATTTTGAGGTAAACCTTATTTTTATGAGAGCTCTACCTTTCTGGGTGCCTGTAGGATACATTCACTCTACGTCAGCTACAACGTAGAACTATCTCGGACTAATATAAATATGTACCATGAATATATAATAATTACATAATTCTTTTACACAGTAGATGTTATGTTCGATTTTGAGCTAAACTTTATTTTTATGAGAGCTAATGGTTAAAATGGTTAAATTCTGAAACTTGTTGATTTAAATGACACTGCATCATCTATTAAATTGTTACTTTTTATGACTGACGCACCATACTACGGGATAGGGTCGTTAACCCCATGCCCAACCCTCCTCATTTTATTTGGCCTTATGGATCGGAAGTAACCATAAAAAGGTTCCAGGCAGAGTTTGACAGACAATTACCAAAAAGGTTGAAATAACAATAAAATAGGCAAAAGACTTTACGAAATATGAACTGAAAATAAAGTAAATACATATCATTATAGAGTGATGGAGATCACTGTTTATTATTGAAATCATGAATCAATGATTGTTAGATCACCATTAGGAGAACTGGAAGCACTGATAGACAGCCATTTCGTTCTGGTATGGGACTGATCAGCAGTGCGCATCCAAGACTTCCGCTACTCGAAGGATTCGAACCAAGGATCTTCGACCTTGAGTGCGAACGCTTAAACTCCGGACCCCTGAGCCGGCATCCAACAGTGTTAGTGTCTAATTCTGATCAAACGGCCGTCTTTCAGTGCTACCTGGCTCCTAATGGCGGTCTAACAATGATTTATTCATGATTTTAGTAGAAAAAATGCATATGCTTTTGGTCTCGTGTGCTGTTACGATTATGAGGGCGGATGTTACTTTCCGGCTGCCTACATAGTGGAAGTGTTTGTTGAGAAACCTGAAAAAGGTAGATTAGCATTGGTCTTAACGACCTGGGAGCATGACCGCAGAGTCCAAGGGACAATTACTTGAATCCGGTCACGCACGGCCTATTTATGAAAGGTATTTAGAGTATTAGCTCCGCTCTTAAAAGCCCTTAATGGGCACCGCCGTTACCGCAGTAGACGGAAATCCGTGATGTAAGGTGAGGTATGACATTTTTAAGGTCGACCTATTCTAACCCCTTCCTACATTCCTTTTGAGAAGGCAGTATTGCTGCAGATACCAGTTGTCCGAGGGAAACACCTTACTTACTGCCGTCACACATCTCTATAGTCAGAAGTACAACTTCGACCTCACACCTTCAGTTGCTTCTTTGAGTCTTATTGTTCTCCAATAGACCTGTCTGGCTGGTATGGTAGAACCTACAGGAACACATGTTCCAACCAATATAACTCGGTCGGGTCATCACGATAGGCAAACCCGACCACCAGACTACGTAATATATATATATATATTTATATGTAAAATATACTTACATTATCAATAAGTGAACACCCATTGATCATTGATGATGTATTCACATGACTAGATGTAGGCGGCATAGTATGAGAATTGGTAATACTACTACTACTACTAGTAGTAGTAGTAGTGGTAGCAGTTGTAATGGTGGCCGTATTAGTAGTAGTAGTAGTAGTTGTAGTGCTAGTAGTCATTGTTGATGTAGTAGACATTAATGTTGTCTGTTGATCATGTATTAATTGTATTTCATTCGGTGACCATAGATCAGATTCAGTATCATTAGAAAATTTTGGTAATGGTAAATATAATTTACTATTGAATTCATTTAAATGTTGATTGTTATTGTTATTTTGAATGCTAGTATCGATAGTATCCATTGTTTGAATGAGATAATTTTTTTCAGTTGTACATAAATTTAATAAATTAGAAGTAGTATGACAGATAAGATTAGAATTTTTCGTGATGGATGAATTACGAATTGGTGGAGGTGGAGGTGGTGAACATGTTGGTAATTGCTGTTGTTGTTGTTGTAGTGAAGAATCATTGAATTTTATACCAATACTATTATTACTACTACTACAAGTACTAGTACTACTACTACTATGAATACTACTACTACTTATAGTGGTAGTAGTAGTAGTAGTAGTAACAGTAGTAGTAGTATTGTTATTGCCGTTAGTTCCAGGAGCAGTTGAAGTAGTAGTATGTAATCCAAATCTATTCAATGAACTTAATGGTGCCAATGGAGGTGGAATCCGGCATGCATCATCACTAATTTGTGAAATATCTGTAGAGGATAATTGAAATTGTTCCAGGAATGCAGGATCTAAAGCAGTAGAATCAGGATCTGGTCGAGGTGTACCATAATGATTACCTAGGAAAAATGAACAAAAGAAATAAAGAATATTACAATAAACACTCTAGATGTAGCTTTAAGAGGTGTAGGAAAGATATGAATGTGACCTATTCGATCGCGTGTGCTGTTACAGGTATGGAGGCGGACGTCATTCCTTGAAGAACTTGGAAAGGGAATCCGATTAGCGTTGGTCTGAGAGACCTGGGAGCGTGGTTACAGAGCCCAACCGGCAACTGTTTGAGGCCGGTCATGCACAGCCTTTTTATGGGAAGTTTGTAGTGTTAGCTCCGCTCTTCATCTGGCCATACCGACAGACACGGAAACCCGTGGAGTAAAGTGAGGTGTGACATTTTTAAGATCAAATTGTTCCAAACCCTTCCTTCCTTGTGAGAAGGCAGCATCGCTGCCGATGGTGGTTGTCCGAACGAAAAAGCTTATTGCTGTCACTCCTCTTTAAAGTAAACAGTGGGACTTCGCCCTCAGATCTTCAGTTAGTGCTTTTAGTCTCATACCATTCTGCAATCGACCTGCCTGGCATGGTAGAAACGAAAGGAATATATGTTCTAGCCAATATAGCTCGATTGGGTCATTATCAAGGTAGCAGATACGGTCGAGATGTAGCTTAAAATCAGGTGAGTTTCAATTTGTTTGTGTACATACGGAATGTGACATCCATTTAGCACGTAACACGGAAAATGATTACTAACACTGAAGTATAGGATCCGAAATTTTTAAACTATTTCGCCAGAGCCACAAGTCATCGTTTCATTTTAAAGTATATTATTCCTTGGCAAATAAATAAATCAGTTTCAATGCCAATAGGATGAATTAGTCAATTACACCATGTATAGATTGAGGCGTTTAGGTGAGAGATTACACATGGGCTAGCCAATATTTAGAATGAATTTGAACAGAAAATTAATGATTATTAGATCAAATCACAGCAACTAGAAAATAATTTATTAAGTGTTAGCCTCATTCAAATACACTAGTGATCAGACTTCCTGTATAGTGTTTACTTAGAAATGTGATAAATCCTGAAACAGTTTGATGTATATACATTTACACAACTCATATTTGATGGAGAAGCTTTGAGAGATGCAAAAACCTTTACATATCTGAGCAGCATCATGAATGAGCGAGATGGATCTAATGCAAATATAAAGGCATTAATTGTCAAAACAACGTCAGCATTTCTGCGATTGAAGAACTTCTGGGACTCAAAACAACTATCAATCAACACCAACGACACGATTTCTAATACAAATGTCAAGAAAGTTCTACTTATATGGGGTGGAAACTTGGAGAACCACCAAAGCCATCATCCAGAAGATATAAGTGTTTATTAACAGTTATCTTGACAAGATACTAAGTTGCCGCTGGCTAGACATCATCAACAACAATCTACCATAGCCCGAAAAAACAAACCAGATGCCAGAGGAGAGAGAAATCAAGAAGAAGTGCTGGAAGTGAATAGAATACATACTGAGGAAAGCACCCAACTGCGCTAGACAATCGTACCCGGAACTCTTCTCTGCAACAGAAACTTCAGGACGACACTGTATATTACTTATTAGATTTATTATAAGTAGTACATGCCATACTATAGCCATTTAAATGACTTTGATTGTTAGCTGTATGAACTCAGTGCATAACGCAATGGCGTTTAAAGCAAACAGTACTGGATTCGAATTCCAGAGTGAACATCAACTTTAGGATGCAGACACATCCATCAGATGAGTCGCAAACCGAACGAACCATTCGTCCTGTTATTCCATTGTCTGTCTATGATGACTTCAATTGTTGTTTACTTGGTGTAAAAAGCATAACTCAAAGTATTTTAAATCTACTGATGTTTAAGCAGCCTAAGTTTCACATGTTACATTATCATTTACAGACAAAAATAAAACACATCAAAGCGACTCATAAACATAAGATTTATCATCATGATTATCCGTATGTCATATGTCTGTCATGGTGTTGATAGAATAAATAAGCAGTTCGTTGCAGATATGTGTGTATGCGAGTGTGTGTGTATCGTGATGATGTATACATGTGAATAAATTCAACAGATGAATGAATCAGCTCATTACTTATTCCCTCTGGTAACTAATCGGTAGGCATAGAAATCTAACTAAATCAAGGTCAGAGTTGATGATTCCGTATGGCGACAACTTAGTGAAGTTACAACCATCAAAAAAACCACATGAAATCTAGTATAAGCTTACTATCATAAGAAATGATATAAATGTGATAAGAAAGTATGTTTGCAGCTATTAAGACGAACTAACAGAAAATGCAATCTTAGGGGTTACTTATTGACTTTTGGTCTTGCGCGTGAACGCCTGGGTTCGAACCCTGAGAGGTTCAGGAGTCGTGGATGCGCATTGCTGAAGAGTCCTATACCAGAACGAGACCGCCGTCCAGTGCTTCCATGTTTCTAATGATGGTCTAGCAATGAATGATCCATGGTTTCAATAATGGAGTTGGAACATGTGTTATATATGCCCAGCCACCGACTGCCTCGACGAGTGATGTTTTGTGATATAGTGGTAGGCTGAAAGAAAGTTAGGGGTGCCGAAACCGAAACATAGCACAAATCCGTGAAGTCACTGACAACTGGACTAAGCCATGTTAGTAAGTGTAAACTGGTTGGTTGCGGTCGGTGAGACAATAACAACCGATGGTTGAAGACTTTACATGACATGCCACAGAATCGTTTGGAATGGTACAAACGCATCCACTCTTTGTCTTCTCTCATGATTTCATGAGCTCAAGACCTTTTCTTCCCTTTTTGTAAGTTTATTTCACGGGATTGTATGTCTCAAATTGTTTCTTCGAACCCTAATCTTTTCCATTACCGCTAATACTTCTACTACCTGTACTACAGGGGACTTGAATCGACAATTGCCTCTCTGTGTACTAATGTGGTATGGCAACCTGAAGCGATGTACGTACGTACTAAATTTCACGTTATAGCTGACTGATTGAATAGGTTTATTGGGTTAACAGAGCGATGATGCTAGTGACTTTGAATAAATGCTGTTACGTAATGATAGCAGCAATAATAATAATAATAATAATAATTTTACTGTTTTACTAAGCGAAAGTAGATATACTCAACCTTGAACCAAACTATTTATATGTGATGGCTGGTAATTCAATTTGGAAAGCTTAAACTAACATCCTATAAACCAACCAAAACCGATCAGTTTAGTTCTATAAATCAAATAAGTACTCTAACCATTCCAAGCTTTAATTAAAGTAGTAAGCTAAAATTGAAAATATATTCATTGATAAATATTTCACAATAAAATCAGGGATCTTAACAGTCAGTCAGTCAGTTGCAACGCAGAACTTCGTACGTATGTACATAAGTTCATGTTGCCATACCACATTAGCACACAGACGCAAATGTCAAATCAAATACCATAGTGATAAAGATAGTAGAGGTATTAATGGTAATGAAGAAGACTAGGGTTTGAAGATATTATTCAAGAAGTATAATTCAGTGAGATAAGGTTAGAAAGACAAAGGTAGAGGTGCTGACGATTCCAGAAGATTATGATTTGAAAGCTCACAACGAATAGATGCACTTGCGCTATTGCAAACGATTTTGAGCCATGTCGTTCAAGGTCTCTAACCATTGATGACTTTCGTCTCGCGGACCCCAACCAGGTAGTCTACATCTACCAACATGACTCAGTTCACTTGTCAGTGACTTCATGAATTTCTGCCATGTTTTGGTCTGGCCGCCCCTAGCTTTCTTCCAACCTACTCCTACACTACAAAACATAGCTCATCGAGTCAGTCGATGGTTAGGCATACGTAACACATGTCACAACCATATCAACTGATGAAGTTTCACCACTTCATCTATTGATCTGCCATCCTTACCTAGCACCCGTTTCCTAACAACAGCATTGCGCACTCGGTTGTCCCACGATATACGAGCAATGCTTGTTAAACTTCTATGATCGAATACTAGTAACCTACGAACATCTTCCACTCTTAACGGCCATGTTTCGCATCCATATAGGAGAACGAAGCGAACTGCTGCACAGTACACTCGTCCTTTGGTCAGCGAACGGATATCACGCCTACGCCATAAACGACGCAGGTTGGCTAAAGCCAATCGAGCTTTCTGTATCCGTGCTGAGATTTCATCAGTCACCAGGCTATCAGCGCTGATGAGACTCTCCAGATAAGTGAAGTGATCAACACACTCGACTACTTCACTCCCTATCACTAGTTCAGGTGCCGATGCAACCCAATCTTGAAGCAACATTTTGCATTTTGAGGGGGAAAACCGCATCCCGAACATGGTCGCATTGTTGCTTATGCTAGTCAAAAGACTCTGCATTTTGTCAGCGTCTTCACCGAATAGAACTATGTCATCGGCATATTCTAGATTAGTAAGCGATTTCCCTGGTAGAAGGTCAACAATCCCTGAAAAATCTGACGAGCTTAATGTCAACATATCTTAACATATCATTGTGTACATTAAATTTTTTTTGTTGAAATTACTCAATAAAATATTGATGAAAATAGTTCGAATACATTATTATTATTATTGATTACCTTTATACATTCCACTTTCTAATAATTGTCCACTACGTTCAAGTGCAAGAAATTGTGGTACATTCATAAAACGATAATGAACTCCATCGATTTCTTCAGCTCTAGGTAATCTAGTTGTACCTAATAATAATAATAATAATAATAATAATAATAATAATAATAATAATATATGTAAAGATTTATTCGAAATTCATGACTGATAGTATATAATAAACTGTAGAAACTTAAAGAAGAATTAGGAAAGTGGTTTAAGTCACAGCAATTTGTTTAGAAAAACTGGTATCCGGAATCAACAAAATGTATACGATATAATAAAAATAAAGCAGGAAAGAAGAATATATACATCTATGGGCAACATAAATCAATGAATTCGTTTGTGGACTGGGAAACTTTACGATTGCCTAAATCAGAGTAAGTGGTTTTCTAAGGTAGCCACTTCTTAAGCCTTTGGGCTAGAGGTTTAATCTACAAGATAGTAGGGCAACGTTAAGAGATGAGATCCCATGGTAGCCGGAGATGAACAATAAGCTCGTGCACTATTTGTCTCATTAACTGCCAAATGCCCTGGTATGGTCGAGAGTGGAGACAGTTCGCTCTCTCTCTCTCTAAATATTCTCAGATGGACACGCGTGAATAGCCACTGTCAGGGAAGTCCTATATACTACCTGCTCGTGGCTTAGTGTCATTCAAGAACTTGAGAGAATGAAAGCAAATGTCTGGTAGGGGTTTAAACCGTGTTGATGGGTACGGACGATCGACCAAAAGGAGTTGGAAAACTCTGATTCCAAACCAATGGTACATAAGGGTCCCCCGGTCCTGACGGAAAAAATGGCATCCGAACGCACTATTATTCAACAGCTACAATGGAAATTTATCTCCTTAAGTTGATCCACGACCCGAAGAATTAAAATTTTAGGTCAAACGCTCGGGGAGTAGCCCTCTAAGAAAACCACCTGCTTTAGTTTGAGCGTCCGGGCAGTATCGTAGCCTGCTTACAAATTCAGTAATTTGTGTCGCTTAAATATTTAGGCGTATCTGGAAGCCCTGATGCTGCTCCCCGTGGCCTCGGTGGTTTAGGTATAGTATTAAGTCCTAGGGCAGAACCAGCTCTCTTAGATTGGATCCCGGCAGACAGTCGCTTGTGCGCTGTCCGACTAAACGAGACAATAAGGACCAGGAACACTCCTCGTTGCCTCTTCGTCGTATCAACCTACGCTCCCACTGACTGAAGTTCAGACGAGGTGAAAGATGAATTTTACAGAAAGCTTTCGGACCTCCAAAACGTTAAGCGCTCTCATATAGTTATAATGGCTGGTGACTTTAATGCTCAAGTAGGTAGACTAAGTGAGCAGGAAAGACACCCAGGTGGATGTTATGGTGTCGCGGCTCAGAGAACAGACAATGGCGACTGTCTGTTGCAGCTGTGCTCAGATAACCGCCTATTTCTAGCAAACACTAATTTTAAGCATAAGGAAAAACATCTTTTGACCTGGCGGCCCCCAAAGTCGTCCCAGCAAAGGACCCAACTACATTACATCGTTATCAGCCGTCGATGAAGTTCCAACGATTTTTTAGAGTTTACGCACCACGATGTTAGGAATAGCCGTAAGAAATATAGATTTTACTTTTCACATTCCTGTTAATTTATGAAAGAGCAGTTGTTGAAGTTCATACTATTTTAAAAAACATTATTTCTCTATTACTGCTAATAATTATACTACCTCTACCACTATGGGATCTGAATTGATAATCCGATCTCTGTGTGCTAATGTACTACGACAACTTGAACTGATGTACATACGTACCAAGTTCTACGCTGCAACTGACTGATTGACTGAATCTGATATCGCAACAGATAAAAGTAAGCAGAGACAGAAGACATAATTGTACATTAATCCAACCAATCTACACTACATCAATAATGCAGCAAGATGAAATCAGTAAGAGTTAACTGATGTCGGTGACAACATGGTTGCTAATTTTAAGAGAAACTGAGTTAGGTTAAGGCGATTCAAATACTACTTATAACCCATTCTACATTAAATATATCCATTTTTAGTTTACTTTCTCAAGATAAGAAAACAAAATCATTCATTATTGATAAGCTTTAGAAAAAAAAAACAAAATTTTACATACAAGGTACTACACGTTGATAAACATTCTCACGTATTTTCTCTTGTAATGCATATTCTGATGAATCCATTGCAAATGAGGTAGCTAAAAAACTTGACAACATTGTACTACTTGTAACTAATGCATGCGGTGGACTAAGATGTAATCGAACATGTGAATGTGATTGTAGACAAGCATTACATAATGTAATAGCATCACGTTTTGTATAGCCTGACAATTCATAGCCATCAATAGCTAAGATAATATCACCTGGTTTCATCATAGATTTAGAATGATTATGATTAGTAGTGGTAGTAGTAGTAGAAGTAGTAGTTGTTGTAATATGAGTAGAACCATGATAAATAATACGTGATGGATCGAATTGAGCACCGACTACACAAAACATACCAGCATCGGAACCTCCATCAATCGGAATAATTGGTAGATCATCACTGTTATTATTATTATGATGATATGATTATTATCGATTTTTGCAGAAATAACTATTTCATAGCATTGTTCTAACCATCGATTTGGTTTAGAATTTTGTTCAGAATTAGCTTTTTGAAGAGATGACACAAAATTTGCACTGTATTGTTTTGTTAATTCGCTTTTCATTTCTTTCATTTCTTTGAAACAAAGATGAAAAATTGAGGGGAAAAAACCTTAAATGAATAGAAAACTTTACAAAATAACTAAAGAATCAGTCAGAATATTTAAACAGAGTGCGATAATTTTGTTTTGGTTTTAAATGATTTACCTCACAGTGTACATGCACCTAGCTACCTTAATTGAACGGTCATGACTTGCTGGACAAAGTCAGACGGATCATGTGGTTAATGAGGTGTAGATATGGATGTCCATTGTGAGGATATGAATTATCCACTCAGCCAATATTAATAATTGAGTTCTATCATTTATGAATCTAGATTACTTTGCTTTTAACAATAGAGCTTCTCATACAGCCTTAAGCCTCTATATTTGGACTGAGTGTCGGGGACATGGTAGCGACTGAGCAAAACAGCCAAACGCAGAAGTTTATCACTGAAATGTTAATTCAGTTACCAAGTATAATTTTTTGTACTTGACTTCGAACCAAAAATTGAGTAAGTGATATTATTTAGGTGAATAAAGTACAATAGGTTTGGCAAGGTTTAAATCTGCGACTTGGCGAATAAAATTTAAGCGCTTTAACAGTATGTTACAACTCCACTTCATAGGTTCATTAACTGGTTAAACAACTTAATCTGGAACACCACTTATCCATTGGTCTCACTTTAAGCAGATAGTTTCAAAAAAATCGATAATTATAACCGGCAACTTTTTCAAGAAGGAGCTGACAATGTTATGCAGAACGATAATAAAAGCATATAGTTTAGATACGTGATCAACACTGAGATCCCATGCATGGATTCTATTCTAGAATGTTTTATAGCTATAGAAAACTATGTAGAAGATTGAAAATTTTAAGCTCGGGTTATTAACGATAAATTTACATAAAGAAAAGAATGAGACAGGTAAAGGTTGAATTTTAGCCAATCTATCTTGCAACATGTGCATTCTGAGAGAATCGCTTTGGTATGGTCATTAAGCCACAAGTTTTTCAAAGAAAACGAATATCGACCAACAGTGGATTCCAGGACCCGAGTCTCCATGTGAACATCATAGTGAGATGCACGTACATACAACTGACGAGTACCAAGCAGGTCGGAGCGTGTCCTGGATTCCACTGATCATAAGTATCAGGGCTAACTTATAGGTAGATTAGTAGTTTTTAATACCTAAAACAAAGGTTAAGCGAAAAAGTGAGGATAGGACGTGGAAGCGTGAAGAGACTTCAAGAAAGGTTAGTTTTATATCCTACTTTCAATATTATAAAGCATGAGACATGTTGTTTAGGCTCCCTGTACAATGGCTGCTTTGCAAACCCCGATCAGGTAGTGTACATTATGGCAGAGTGAGTCGATAACAATTGACTTGGAAGGCTTTTTCCATGTTTTAGATTGGTTGGCCATGGCCTGTACATGGTATCTCGCGTTCTCTATGCAACTATCAGAAATGATAATCCAAATAGAATAGAACTTCATTGAACAAGTTGAAGTCAGAACATGATCAATTTTGAGTGATACATAGATCCTCTTGAGCGATTTGCAAATAAAATATTTTGCGTAAAAAGATTGGATTCCCACTAAATTATTAGACTTAAGAATGAATTCCAATATAGCCCCTTACTATGTTAGCAATAGGAGTTAACAAACAACCGGTTTATACATATTACAATGACCTTAACTGATGATATATTAACTCTATTTACTTGGCATCTACAAATTATTTGGATTTTAGCAGCGAAGTTTGTAAACTGGACTATTTCTATGAAAATTCAATCTCTTCCTAAAGCATATTTGTAAATCCAACACCATTTGAACGCAAAGAGTGTTTCATAAGAGCCATCACGCGATTGTATTACCCTATTACTTGGACGTAACAACAGCTTGCTGATCCTATATTTTCCTGTATAAAAATCGCGGATAACGGAATTAGGACTACTTTGATGAGACACTGATAATCTAAGTGTACCTTTGCTAAGGAATATATAAGAACGATAAGTGGAAATTACGCTGTCTGATCGTAGAGGAACAAAAATTTTTTACTTAAGCACGTTACATCGGTACTGAGAAAAAGACAGCAGCGGATAACTTTATTTGACAAAACAGAATACGCAATTTATTATGAACAGGTCAACTGCACTCATCCTGACTACAAAACAAGAGTTGTGCACAGTTTCGCTACATTCCATATATATCGTTTCTTGAAAGTGGTAAGCAATGATGAGTTCAATAGTTTTTGACACAGGAAATGATCTATAGAATAAAACATGCTGTAGACAACATGAAACCTGTCCTTTGGTTTTTAAATTGGAAGTAGGGCAGCATTAAGTCATTACACAATAAAATATCTAAAACCTTATGAATGCTACACTTTATAAATCTTGAACGAATCAAAAAGTAGTGTAAAT